ATCACTTTAATGGTGAGGAGATTTTTCCCAAATCTATTCATTTAAAAATAGAGTCTATGTCTAATCCCCTTTGTTTCACATCGCCCCAACCCGTCCCCGGGGTCCTTGCCTCCTCGGGCAAACATGCGGGGCTCACGGCTCGAAATACAGCCCGGCTCCTTTTTTTTTTTTTGGCGCTTGGTAAGTGGCGCAGTGAATGTTTATGGAATTGAATCAAGCACAGCCTGTTCCGACCTCCCCTCCTCCCCGCCGTCTCCCTGCCCGCCCTGTGTGATCCTGCAAGCCCTCCCTCGCAGGGGTTGGGGCCGAGGTGCCCAGCCTGGGGGTCATGAAGGCGTGATGGGAGTACTTTTACAATCCTGTCTCTCAAAATCGTGATGACCTTTGATAGAGCAGCTGTAGATTTTGCAGGGGAAAAAACTAACCTATTTAGAAAGGCAGGAACATTGTGAGGTAAACGGTCTGGTGATTATCTCCCGAAACTTTCAAAGAACTAACTGTGATTAAAGATGTAAATGAGTACTAATAAATAAAAGGGAGTAGGCTAGAGGAAAAAGCCGCAATTCATGTGGATTTAGATAATATGTGGATTTTGAATGATGTATCATACAGAAGTGCTTTAACGGTGAAGATCACTTATTTAAACTTGGACGCATACTGAAAGCACTGGATTTTTTTTCAATGACGTATTTTGTTAACTTTGTAAAAGCGTTCTGTTGGAGCCAAATAATTCCATTGAGTGAACTATAGTGTTTACATGTATTTGTCATTTCATCTGAAGGGAATGGAGTATCAATCATTATAATCCTTATTTTACTTATTTATAATAAGTAAAGAAATAAGCAGCTTTGTAAAATAAGGATTATAAATAAGTGTCTTGGATACTGTCCAGTTTCACTATCATAAATTGTAAAATATTGTAAAATTTAAAGACAACGTTTGATTATTATTCAAAGTTGGCATGTAAATGCCAATTTAACTTTTAGGATATGAATTGAAGATTGATGATATGGGTAAAGTGAACAGGGATTACTTTTGAGAAAATTAAGTTACCCTTTAAAGAAAACATGATTTTTTTTTCCCCCAGCCTGAGTGCCCCTGCGGAACTGTTGTTATATATATATTTATACACACCCTGGAGAACCAGTCTCTGCCTATTAGTACCTTCGTTATCTTCAACAATTCCTTAACCTTGCTAAGGTTAAGGTTCCTGTAAAATGGTATTAATAACAGTACCGGAACTCATAGCATTGTTGAAGGATTAAATGAGATAATGCATCAGTTCGTAGAACATAGTAAGCATTCCATACTTGTTAACTATTATACTCTATGTCTAAACCACTACTAATATTGTCTCTTTCTGGGGCTTAATATCACACAGGTCCCTTAAACATCTTCTCAAGTTTATTCTGCACTAAGAGGAATGACTGCATCATTTTCCTGAGCTATGGCAGTTAGATCTGATAGTGGTAACTACACTACAGAACCCCCAAACCTGGCAAGAATGGCACAGATTTTGGCAGATTATGGCTTCATCCTCACCCAAAACTGATGATATTATCACAAGTGAGTATGGCACCAATTTCCTATACTAAACAGAGCTTCCAGATTCTAGTTTTTAATTGATGCTAATTTTTAATTAATTTAATTTAATTGATATTAGTTTTTAATTATTTAATAAATAGGTAAAGACCACTGAAGTATGTTTTTATTATTTGAGAATGATTTGTATGTGTTTTTTTAATTTACTCTCTGATAATCAGTGTCCAGTAATTATCACTATCAAATAATTATTAAGATTTTGCTATAGTAAAGTCATTTTGCTGGGAATGGGTACAAGTAGGTATAATACTGACCATATTTTCTGAACTAAACATCAGGGAAAAAATGATTTAACAGGCAAGTATTTGAAATCAGAACTGTTCCAAACAATATGGATTCCATGATTGCCTTTTTTTATTTTTCATTTATGAGTTGGGGTCTCTTGTCCAGGCTGGAGTGCAGTGGCACAATCATGGCTCACCCCAGCCTTAACCTCCTGAACTCAGGCAATTCTTCCTTCCTCCTCAGCCTCTTGAGTTGCTGGGACTACAGGCACACCCACCACACTCAGCTAATTTTTATTTTTTTGTGAAGACAGGGTCTTGCTGTGTTACCCAGGTTGGTCTCAAACTCCTGAGCTCAAGCAGTTTTCCAGCCATGGCCTCCCAAAGTGCTGGGATTACAGATGTAAGCCACAGCACCTAGCTCATGATTGCCTCTTATCCAGAGTTCCTCCACTTGACCTTCCTCTGCTAAACTTTTTATCCTTTTGACTGACTCTGACACCTTTCTGTATCTAAATATCTTTGTTTACCTCTTACCCACACCACTCACCTTTGTTTTCATTTTCGAACTTGTTGCCTTTTTTAAGTTAGGATCTTAATGACTATTATTAATTTCTACTTTTTAAACTTCTCTGTCATACAGCCATGGTCATAAAGTCCTTTACACTTAGGTTTAAGTATTTCTTCATACACCTGATAGCCTAGAATTGTCTTTCAGACACTGAATTTCAAAGTTCCTGTTTTCTCCTGTTTTTATCATCCTACATCCTAACTTTCTAACAAGCATCTCTCTGGCAAGGGCAATTGTGCAAATATTATTTACTTTGCAGAGATGATGCGACATTGAGAAGATGTGACTGCCTTTGCTTTCTGAAAATCATATATTTGTCCATATTTATGGGTCACATGGGATATTTTGTTACATGCATACAATGTGTAATGATCAAGTTGGTATTGTAAGTTATTGATCCGCTCGGGGCCATAGACCATTACCGATCCATGGCCTGTTACGGACCAGGCCCCACAGCAGCAGGTGAGCAGTGGGCAAGCTCTGCCTCCTGTCAGATCAGCAGTGGCCTGCCCATTATTTTATTTACCACTTCCGTTCATGCCTCTTTGTTTTTTGGGATGAGTTGTACAATTATTTTAATATATATTGCGATGTAATAATAATAGTAGAAATAAAGTGCACAATAAGTGTTATGTGCTTGAATCATCCCAAAACCCCCACCCCCCATCCCCCGTCCATGGAAAAATTGTCTTCCATGAAACCGGTCCCTGATGCCAAAAAGATTGGGTACTGCTGACCTAGACTATTTATCACTTCTGTGTTGGGAACATTTCAAGTTTTCTCTTACAACTGTTTTAAAATATACAGTGCATTGTTGTTAACCATAGTTACTCTACTCTGCTTATCAGACATTAGAATTTATTCCTTCTATCTGACTGTATGTTTCTACCCATTAACCAACCTCTCTTTATCCTCCCTGTCCCCCACCACATACACACATCCTTCCCAGCTTCTGGTAACTATTCTTTTACTCTCTACTTCTATGAGATCTATTTTTTTTAGCTCCCACTTACAAGTAAGAACATGTCTTTCTGTGCCTGGCTTATTTTATTGAACATAATGATCTCCAGTTCAATCCATGTTGCTGCAAATGACAGAATTTCATTCTTTTTTTTTCCTCTACCCATTGTGGGAGCTGTGGCATGGGACAGCTAGAATTTCATTCTCTTTATGACCAAATAGTATTCCATTGTGTGTATATGCCACATTTTCTTTATCCATTCATCTGTTGATGCACACTTAGGCTGATTCTATATTTTTGTTATTGAAAATAGCGTTGCAATAAATAGGGGAGTGCAAGATGTCTTTTTGATATACTGATTATCTTTCTTTTGGGTAAATACCTAGTAGTGGGATTGCTGGATCATATGGTAGTTCTATTTTTAGTTTTTTGAGAAATCTTCATATTGTTTTCCATAATGATTGTACTAAATCAAGTTGCTACCAGTAGTTTACAAGCATTCCCCTTTCTCTGCATCCTTGGCAACATCTTTCTGTTTTTTTGATAATAGCCATTCTAACAGGTAAGAAGATATCTTATTCTGGTTTTGGCTTGCATATCTTTAATAATTAATGATGTTGAGAATTTTTCTATGTACTTATTAGCTATTTGTATGTCTTCTTTTGAGAAATGTCTGTTTAGGTCCTTTGCCTACTTTTTAATGTGATTATTGGTTTTTTTGCTGTTGGGTTGCTTGAGTTCCTTGCATATTCTAGATATTAATTCTTTGTCAGATGAATAATTTGCAACCATTTTTCTCCCATTCAACAGGTTGTTTCCTCATTCTATTGATTTTTCCTTTGCTGTACAGAGCCTTTTTAGTTTAATATAGTCATTTATCTACTTTTGGTTTTTATTTGCCTGTGCTTTTGAGATCTGAGCCATAAAATTTTTGCATAGACCAACGTCCTAGGATGTTTCCCCTGTGTTTTCTTCTAGTAGTTTTATAGTCTTGGGGCTATCTTTAAGTCTTTAATATATTTTGAGATTATTTTGTTTGTTTGTTTTTAAGTCAGAATCTTATTCTGTTGCCCAGGCTGGAGTGCAATAAGGGCATGATCACAGCTCACCACAGCCTTAAACTTCTGGGCTCAGGTGATCCTTCCTCCACAGCCCCCCAAGTAGCTGGGACTACAGCCCTGTGCCATCACACCCAGCTAATTTTTTTTTTTTTTTTTTGAGTTGTTGTCTCACTCTGTTACTCAGGCTGGAGTGCCATGGCCTGCTCAAGGCCACCCCAACGTCAACCCGCTGGGTTCCGGCGATCCTTCCACTTCAGCCTTCCAAGTAGCCAGAACTGCAGGCGTGTGCTACCACGCCTGGCTAATTTTTGATTATAGAGGTGAGGTCTTGCCAAGTTGCCCGGACTTGTCTCCAACCCGCGGGCTCAGGCAGTCCACTTGCCTTGGCCTCCCAAAGTCCTGGGATT